CAGTTTGAGCGGCGATATTATTGGTCTGGCAGTAAAACCCCGAGAGTCTGGGATTTTTTTCATGCCTTGGAATATTTATCAGTAATATATTGCAGTCTAGTAGACTTGTATCACTACGAATGCCTGGCAATGAAAAATGTCGATTCTTTAATACAGCTAGATATCAATTCGTTGGCGGGGGTCGGTATAAGGCTCTGTGATTACGTCAAGAATGAGTACTATAGCGAGGTCTCCGATGATATAGGCCATCGCCTAGGGCTCCTTCATACTCGTAGACCTGACTACTAGACAGGGTCATGTGTAGGACGGGCCATCCCTTAAACACTAGCTAGTATAGGATGTGCTTTAAATCAGTTAAATCAGTCATGTGAAGAAATCGGTAAATGAGTCTTCGATCTGTGCCTTTGATGTGCAATTTTCTTGGCCTTCTTTTACTTTGAGTACACACAAAAAAGTTATCTATGCCTTGAATGATACATAATATCTCTGTGACTTACAGAGCTAGCAAAAGATCATGAAGTGTGAAAAGAACGACCATATGGATTTGCCGACCGTAAGCGTCATTGATTCGTGGGTAGGCCTCGAGATGGGGCGGGGCGGTTCTAAATTTTTGAACCACGAACTGCCCCTCACAGACCCGCAACCTATGCCCTCGTAGAACCGCGCCGCCCCGCGGGTCTATGCGGTTCGGAAGCGGATCGACCCTCATAGACCCGCGAATGCATAACTTTGCCATGAGTTTCCTCTTTCGGACGCATAATTTGATGAATCATCTTTGTTATTTACTGTTATTAAACATGGTTTTGGTCTTAACCCTTCCATTCATCCAAAATAACTACCAACCATTTCGAAATTAGATGAAATTTAATTGTATATAGATTATTTACTATTAAAATCACCAATTCGCCCTGTTGATAGAGTATATTACTAATATTATTGCGAGCTTTGATGGAAGGTGTGGTTTATTCGGTATACACACTCGGAAATATATATTTGAACTTGAGTGCACTACCACCATCTTTCATAAGATCTATTCGGTCTATACCTAAAACTCTATTTAGGATTTAAACAGACTATATTATATATTATTTTAAAGCTTACATTCTCTAATAATAGGTGGATCAAAAAAATATTATCTTCTGTAATAAATATAAGCTAGTAATCCACGTCGAACGATTGTACTCTTCTCTTTGTGGAACGGACTTAGTGAAATTTGAGGGTCTTGCTCGTAATATAGGCTATGTAGAGGGTCTTTCTGTGGTTTCTGCGGTTTCTGCGGTTCTTATTGCGGGTATACGAGGTCCTTTGCGGTTCTTTGCGGTTCGGACCGCAGGGAACCTCAATATAGTGGGTCTTTCTATCCAATCACTATATAGAAATAGATTTTATCTATCTAAATCTCCTAAGTCCTGTTGTTTGCTCTATAGTAGCTGATTCTCATTTTTTTTCGAGTACGTCTCTTACGCTCCTTTCTTTCCTTTCCCCCCTTTCATTCTATACTCATTTTGTCAAAATGCCACAGAGCCAGACCTCTCAGTTCTCTGATCACTATCCCCCATCGATTTTTGGCGATAACCCAGTGGATACCCTCTCCTTACTTCCATCTGATGGTCCATTCAATCTCGACGGGCGCGACACGCTAAGTTCTGCCCCTAACGTGAACTTTACCCGACCGGCGGTTCCTCCTCTGATCCCTGAGACACTCCAACGCGTTGGCCCTACTAAACAGAAGATCTATATCCTCTGGACAGAGATGGTGAATGATGATTTTATTACATGGTGGCTACAGACCGAGTTTGGAAGTCAAATGAAACGGAATATTTTCGATGTTAAGCACCAGTCAGGGTGTTGGGATCACTTTGAACAGGTTGCAGCTCCTCAAGATGGAACTCCTAAGGTTATGTGTAAGACCTGTAACCATATCCTGGCTCATCCTGCCGATCGCCACCGGGGAACAACCCATATGAACAAGCACTACACACAAGGGGTTAATTGTCGGAAGCTAGCGCCTCGGTCGCAAGATATTAGACAGATGATATCAAACGGGGTATAGAGAACTCCTATCCTTATTTCTTTTCCTTACTAATGTTATCGAAATCTCTCACTAGGTATACCACACACCCCAAAGATTGCATTTTACCCAGCAAGCCTGGATGGAGAGGTTGATTACATTTATTACTGCCTCACGGTTACCATTCCTCCTTGTTGAGCATCCTGAATTCCGTGCCCTAATCGAAATGGCACGGCTTGCTCCGTCTATGCCCGAAATCCCTTCCGCGTTCACAGTCCGCCGGCATCTCCGAGAGATAGTGGAACAACGCCAGTATACTCTTCTTTGCAAGCTCCCTCAGGGCGCAAAGCTCTCTGTTGCATTAGATTGCTGGACTTCCCCTTTTCGACAGTCTTTCATAGCGGTAACGGGCTACTTTATTGACCAAGAGTGGAACTACCGTGAGATTTTACTTGGCTTTGAGCCACTGTATGGGTCGCATACGGGGGCCTATCTAAGTACCGTTCTCCTGAATCTTCTTGAGAAGCATGAGATTACTAACCGGGTGTTAACTATCACTACTGATAACGTGTCTAACAACAGCACGTTGCTAGATAGTCTTCAAGAGGCCGTTGGATGTCTAGAGCTACCTAGCCATATCCCGATTGTTCGGATACCCTGTATCGCGCATGTTATACAGCTTAGTCTGAAAGAGCTACTTAGTCAGATGGATGCAAACCCACAGAACGATCGGGAAGAGATGGAATGGGCCGATGAAGGGACTGATACTATCACCGGGGCTCGCCAAGAGAACACGAAGATCGTGGCTACTCTTAACAAGGTCTAGTCTTCTCTTGCCTCTCTCCTATTCCATACGCTAAGTTGCTAACTATCTGCTATCTTTAGGTTCGCAAGGTGGCCGTTTACATCAACAAAAGTCCACAACGTCGCGAGAGTTTTGTGAAACTTCAGACGAAAGAGCCAAAGCTTATGCCAATCCAAGATGTTCGGACGCGCTGGAATTCAACGTTCCTAATGCTCCGACGTGCCCGGCGGCTACAGTCTGCCTTTGATACATTCTGTGCCGAATTCAACCTTACCGACATGAAGATGGATAAAGATGAATGGCGACAGGTTGATTATCTTCTCTCAATTACCTATCCCTTCTTTAAATTCACTTCATCTCTCTCAGTAACTACGGATGTTACTATTCACAATGTCTTCGGTATCTACAACACCTTATTTACTCATATTGATAAGGCAATAGCCCAGCTAGCGCGGAAGAGGGTTGGTTGGAAAAAGGTGATGAAGTCGGCGCTAGATTATGCACGGGATAAGCTGGCCGAGTATTATGGGAAAACTGATGATGTTCCTGGCGATCTCTATGCAATTGCCACTATCCTAGGGCCGCGGAATAAGCTGGCATTTTTCTCAGGGAAGGATTGGGAGCCTCACTGGGCGCCACGCTACAGGAAGTCCCTAGAGACTTACATTCAACCTTACCAAGAGCGCTATAAACGGTCTCCGTCAACCGTCCAGTCCATGAGAAACGATATATCTGACATTGATATCCTTGTGACACCTATCGAATCTCTTCAGTCTGAAACAACTGCTACAGATGAGCTCACGCGGTATCTTGGAAGTAGTAAGCCAATCCCTCCACTTCTTTATCTTCTTATGTACTCCCGTGGTTTGCCTTATACTAACCTTACTAGGTACTGTACAGGCAACTCCTCTAGTGTACTGGAAGGAACACGAAAAGGAATTTCCTATTCTAGCAAGCCTCGCCCGAGACGTCCTCACTATTCCAGCTAGTGGTTCCGGCGTTGAGCGGTTATTTAACTCTGCCCGCGATATCTGTCACTACCGACGGGGCTCGCTGAAGCCACAGACGATCCAAGATTTGATGATGTTTATGTGTACAGCAAGATTTGATGTCGAATCAGAACAGCTTGCTTGGATTGATGAGTACCTTTCTACATAAGAAAAGCAAGCAGAGAATGAGCGAAAGGATGCGGAGAGGAAGAAAAACGAAGGATTTGATTCGATCAGTGATAACGAGGAAGATTCTCTTACTATTGAAGACATTCGAGCCACGCAATATTCTACTACGTCTGTCAGTGAGCGTACACTTGGGAAGAGAAGAGCCGAGTTCATATCCGATAGTCTTATCCAACTGGATGATACTAATGAGGTTCCTCTACCTGATAATGACTACTTATTAGAGGAAAGTAGCACCCAGCGGCGTTCATCTGGGCGCGTTCTAAAGCGCTCAAGACGGGATGAGGATTATGTATATAACTAGCAGAAAATTATCGAACTCTTATTAAAGGATTAGTCTAAATAAGACCTTTTATAATACGCATATAGGGCTATGGGCATAGACCATGATTCTGACTGTAGGGTATAAGGCTGAAAACAAATACAAAAAAATACAGGCTCGTTCTGCATAAGATATGCATATTACGGGACTTAAGATGTTTGATATGTTTATAGACCCGCCGGGTCGACCCGCAACCTTGGAGGGTCGGTTCTCATCGTCCTCAAACCGCCCCGCGGGTCTAAACTTCGCGTCCAAGAACCGCCCCTCTGAGGGGCGGGGCGGGGCGGTACGCGGGTCTTGCGGTTCCATCTCGAGGTCTAGCCGCAGGAGAACTCATTTGATAGACCCGGCATTGGCAGTTGTTTTCTCTTCCTCCATTCACATTGTATCCTTACCTCTACCTCGTTCGGTTCTGAATTTTTCTCCCCCACCCTCTACTCTCGCTATATGATCCTCGTCTACAGTCTGATCAGACGTGTTGGCCCCTGAAGTCTCTGGATTTTGTGCTACACAAACGCAATTGACCAGCGCGGAGGATTCTTCGACGTTAAAAACTAACCCCCAGTGTTCTATATTGTCTCAACAGATCATTACCATTAAGCAGACCCGGGATGTCACAAACTCTTCCGGGACGGTCTGTGTCTCCCGATCTTACCCAGTCGTATTAATCCCTCTTCCAGATCGGCAATGAGTTCCCAAACCTCGTGGTACCCTATTATCCCTGGTGGGAAGATGAAGCTACTACAGTTCTCTGGGCATTCAAAGACCTCGAAATCCGTCGAGTTATTCGCTACGGGCTATTTCGTGATGAAAATTTACCACGAAGTTCCCTCTTATGCCGTAATATCAATGCAATTGATGCTATTTTTATGGCGCTGACTGGACCGCGTGAATATCAGCTGCTTGACTGTCTCTCCTATATACAATGAGTGGAGGAAATCTTGCGTCGATCTGGACCTCTATCATTTCAGCCGGTCCCTTGGTCTTGGATACCTCAAGCTCTAGTGGATGCGCTCGACCTGCAGTCTATCGCTCAGGCTATTGAGGCCGAGAGCTATTTCCAGCTCAGTAGGGTCACTTTTGAAGACATTGTGCGAGCCTCGCTGGGATACACGGCGACTTCTGTCGAGTGGTTCCTTATGCAACACACAGCCTTGTATATGCACCTATTAGATTTTCTTCGGATGTTTCCTAGTGGTATTTCTACCTACTTGGAAGTAGAAAAGGTGCAGTTTGCTAGGACTGATAACAAAATCTATTTACTAATATGGCCTCAGCATCTACGGAGAAAGAGCCCCTTCGCCTACCGAGCGATAGCACAATATTTATACGCATTACAAGCCAATTTTACTCCAGATCTGTCTGAGAAACCTATGCGTAGTTTTGAATTTGTTGCCAGCCCGATCCAGTACTTCTTTCAAGACCGACCGGAGAGTCTTCCCGACATGCTCAAGATCTGCAATCTTTTAGCTGTTAGGTTCCGCCGCCAGTACATCAATATCTCAAAGGTGCCTTGGGACAGAAAGCTCGATGTTTCGTATGCCTTCTTTGAAGATTGTCTTGGATCATCTTCGCCACCTGACTTGGCTCGCACCCTCACTGCTCTCGACAAGAGTAACTTCGCCCATCTGACCCGATCAAGTATCACTGCACATGATGGGATTACAAAGGGTCTCTTGGCCAAATGGGAAGATCTAGCCTTGTCAGTATGGGAATGCTGTTCCGCAATCCCAGATTTGACCCTTTACCTTCGAGACTGCGCACAGGTAAGTCGCTTCTTAGCAACAGTGCGAGAGCTTAGCACTATATCTGACAGGGGAATACAACCCTGCAGAACCTCTTACAGCGACGAAATTACCACTCTTCAACGGCAATACTGCATGGTCTCCACAAACATAATATATCGACTACACAGCTCCGCGATCTCAAGAGTACAGCTGGCGAAATGGTCGTTCTAGTCCCTCTTGTTCCACCAGACATGATGTTTCTCTACGATGCGACACAAAACTATGCCGTATACCTTCAATACTACGGATATTACCCGGGAATCCCATTCTTACTCCCGTATCTTCGCGAAGTACAGCAAAAAGGAGAACTGGCTCTTCAACCTGTCTTGAACTTTCTGCGGGCATAAAAGATCGGGTCTACCTGGTCCAAGTATTTAGGGATTATCTCCACTCAATTTGTCTCGGCCAAATTACCTATGTCTTCTCCTCACATTCTCCATTCTCTTACCAGCTTCAAAAAGCTCCTAGTCTTTCGGTCGTTATTGTTTCCTATGTCTGTGCGCTACCTCCGATCCCATTTCCTCGATTTGCATCTAGTGCTAGTAGATTGGCGATCTAGAAAACTCGACTAGAGCGATATGATAGATTAGTTCATTTCATCGTATGATTTCAGAGCTATTTTATACCAAAGAGTAGCTATCGAAAATAAAAAGCGTTCGATGTTCTTGGACCAAGAGTGACAAGAGAGTGCTTGAAAGCGAATCTTCCGCTAGCGAAAGACGGGGTATTCATACCATCGTAGATGGCCATTTTACTTGAATCAAGGTAATGATCATTGCGAAATTCAAGGCCCCAAGTATAAGATGCTTTGTAATTATAAAATATTCCACAATTCATCATAAATTCATCATTGCTTTTACGTAGCTCTGGCAGGCAACGCATTTTTTCTTGGTAGTTCAGCATATAACTTCTTTTCTCACTGTTGGTTTCGTTTAAATACTTGTGAGGATTCCACGGAAGAGAACTGATGACGCACACTAATATTTAACACCATGGGAACGTATATTATTGTGACAGGTGAGGCGGCAGATGGTCATATCGTTTTATTCCACTCACAAATGATAAGCCCGTTACTCTATTCAAAGACCATCTCATCAAAAATTGGCAAACATCATAATATGTTGTAACCCTAGCTCCCTACCAGCTAAAACGCAGGATTCTTCTCTGTCTACCTCATATATCAAAGGACACTTACCACACCTACACAACATCATTCAGGAAAAAGTTGTGGTGCAGCTCAGGACTGATTGACACGGCGCCCTTCTCACAATAAAGTCGCTTTTATAAGTTAGTGGGCGAGTTCGAAGATCGATTACATTTCCGTAGAACACTTGTTTGCCATCAGCCTCGGATTTGCGTTAGGCAACATCCACATCGATCCGCTGGGAACTAAGTGAACAATGAAGGTGGGTGCAGTACCACAAGTAAATATCAGCCGATTAATGATCTACTGTGCTACAAAGTTCCAGTAGAAATGATTGGCCTAATTTGGCTTTCAGCTTGTGGAAGCCAAAGCCTACTATTACACCTAAAATCATTGCATAGTCTGTCAGCAATATCCACAACGAATTCCCAGGAACTAAGTGAATATGTGTGAAAGTCTCACGTATCCGTTGATGAGGAGTGCGTTTTCTAAGCGAATAATCAATATGAAAGAAAGCTATAGTCGACTCCAGATACAAGACGTAGCGCGAGGAAGCAAAAGAGAGATGGCTTCTCGCATTCAGGGAACTAGATGCGCCATGTGGGTCCCCGTTCTCCGTCAGCGTATATGCCTTTTGTTTATCCCTGACAGGGATTTCCAGGGTATCACGTTCCTCTCATAACGAGCTTTTCTTTCTTAGAAGCAATCAATACAACTATTGCCATGATTGATTCAAGATATAAAGCCACGCGAGGTAGCAAAGTATCTCCTTGCATTCAGAGGATCCCAGGTTTGTTCCCACTGTATCAAAGCCCATTGTCAGTCATGTACATAATCTATATTCAGGATATCTCTGCTGAGCTCGGTAGTATACACACACACACACACACACACACAATTCATTAACGCCCGGCGGCTGAGCCGAAAGGGCAACTATCACTAATCTACCAGTACATGCATGTTTGGGTATACGCCGTGTCTCCTTGGAGCCCATACGGTATTTCCTCCCGCATTTGACCTCTCAGCTTTCAATCTCATAGTCAGTCCCTGTGGATTAGTATTGGTTAGTAGACTTGCTTGAAGGCACTTCCTTAAGTGTTCAACATCCTATCCTCGGCAGTTGAAGCGCGTCTACCGTCTGTCACAAGGTGTTGGGGGTTAGTAAGAAGAGGTATTCTATCATTTTGTCGGCAAGCCTAGGTGGCCTCGAGTCGGCCCGTGGCGATCGCAAATCGTATCGAGGCTCGCACTGCTTCCAAATTCGGCTTCCACTTTTGATCATCGGAGGGTGACTTCCCTCCCAAGAAGAAGGATATGTTACTTTGGAGAGTGTTGGTACATTGCAGCATTTCTGTCCGATGTGCAGTCCACTTCCGACATCGAAAGAGAAAGTGGTCTACAGTTTCTCTTGCTTGTCCACATGCTCATTGATCTGTCTTGGCAGCGTTAATCCGAAAGAGATATCCATTGAGTCTTGCCATGCCCGTGCGGAGCTGGGCCAACACGCTCGCTTCTTTCCACGATAATTGTTCATATAGCTGTCACGTGTGTTTCCCTAGAAGTGCTGTATCCACTCGCCGGGAGTGTCTGCCTATATTCTCGGGCAGCTCATTACTGGGGGCAGCTTAAGACCGCGTAAGATTCAGAGTTGTCGACTTCATCCTAGGGACCTGTTTCTCCGTAATGGCGTCTTCTTTTGTTGTGGCTCGGGCCTGTTCTTTCGCCAGACCTAGCAGATCGTTATCTTTCCTTGTAGGAATCCACCGGACGCTGATCCGATTTCTATTCTTCTGCAGTCTTCTTAATAGCTTGTAGATTTGGCAGACAAATTCTTGACCCGACTGTTATCGAGGGCTCTTTAGCGTGAGAGCCGCTGCTTTGTTACTCGTGGTCAGCGTGATCCTAAAATCTTTCAGTCCCCGTAGCGTGTTCAGTACGTATGCCATTGTTGCCACTTCCCTAAAGTATGGGCTCTGCTCGGTTCTTGCACCCAGTATGACAGAGAAAGTTTTCAGCCTTGGTTTTCGATATCGAGGTGGCTGCTTCTCAATCGCCACACACTGTATTATAATCACAGTTAGAAATTTCGGGGGCCACTGATCCGTCGAAAAGCTTACATATAAGGCCTCGGCAGCGAAAACTGTCTTATTGCATCCAGCCCATTGGCAGGGCAGTTCACGAAACCTATCTGTGGATGTGCCATTGACAGCCGCAGTGGTGGGCTCAGTACGGACGGCGGTCGAGGGCATAGAGATTGCAGTTGTCTGAATAGACGCGTCTTGCTCAGTGTCCATGACAGAGGCGGATGTCATCCAGGTCTGCTGTGTGGTACTATAAAAGCTTATATCACTTTCTGTCATGGCGCCAAATAAAGCTATGCTAACAGAAAGTCTCAACACGAGTTCAGACGAGCAAAGAAGTTGGGGCGAAACCAACCAACCTTTTAGAGTGGAAATGAGACTAATAGAGGCCACTTATTCTTGATATTGCAGTAGGAAAGGAAATATGTGATCCATCATACGCGTACCAGAGATGAACAAGGAAATGAAGTGAGTAACTAGGGGGAAGGGTGAAAGGGAGCATGCCAGGCGAAGTTATCATCGAGGCGGTGATTTCATACGGGGTGACACGTCGTTCATGAGTCGCGTGGGACGCTTCGGCGGCTAGTTCGAAGTCAACAAATACGTCTCCTCCATCTGGTATCAAAGAAAACCTTGAATATTTGAAATCCGGAACGAGTAATTATGACATCCGCAGCAAATTACTTACATTGAGCACCGCAAGTCTACTTCTGCTGGAGAGTCCGTGCACTCAGTGGTGACATTGATGAAAAGTGGGTGTTGCGTCGGAGCATTCGGCTGGATTGTGCATAGCATAGTCCGGGGATAAATGGTCATCTTCATACCAGCGATTTGGCAACATGGTCAGTCGGTTACCCAAAACTTTCAGTGATTAGAACGTATTACCAACTTCATTTAAGCTGGCTATGGTGGCAGCTTTGAATAGCCCTCTGCATTGGGACACGACACTGCCGAAGCAATCTGTCGTTAGATACACTCGGTCTAGAACCAATTACCAGCAGCTTGCGTAGGCTGGTCGTTTGCAACTCACCATGCTCGTGGGCTAGGTGAGATTCCTTATACCAGCCACAATACACTATTCCGATCGAACTCGTGGGAACGGCCGAACCAGGGCTGTGTTTCACTGCCCCTCCATGTCATTATGATTTCCGCTGAACGAGAGAGCTACAGACTTGCCGTCAATTTAGTCTGGCATCCGAATAGGCAGACCAGAGACGAGGTCGCGGGTTCGATTCGATTACACGTGCACGAGGGACTGAAACATTCCGTACCGCGGGGAATAGATGTCGGTCATATCTTCCAATGCATAGCTGTTTCTTTGCTGTTCGTGCGCCGGGCAAATCTTCAACCATGTCAGGTCAACGTATCACTGGGGGGATATTCATAGTATTTGGCCTAGGGTAAACTTGGAACTGACCTGAAACGACTGCTCTCGCGGCGAGAGATATGGGCTAGACCTATTGCTGCAACCTGGCTTGTCGCTTGCTCGGTTACAACCAGGCCTGACAACTATCCCTCAGACTGTGGCGGGAAGCTCAATTCTTTACTGGTTGAAACCATTCTCGGAGAGATCATGATCGTACTTGGTGGTCGCCGATGCTTGGCTTCTCTTCGTTATCGCTGGATGCTGCGATAGCTCACTCAGCCTAGTATGAGGCCAGATGATGCCGTCGTCGCGACGCTTTAAATCGGATATGGGACAAGAGGTGCAGGGCCGTCGGGATACAGAAGCTAAACAATAACAGTAAACTTTTGGACGGATAAGATGAAGCCAGGAGAGACGAAAACATGTCGGAACTCTACCATATGCTGACCGAAGGGCACTGAACCTTCTTAGATTTGTTCTATCAACGTGGGCGAAATGGAAATTTCAAGCAGGTGCCCTGGAACAGCGAAGTAGAAACGTACCGGGGTTCACTGGTCCGGCCCGACGTGTCTCCTTATTTTGAGGTCAATGGGGAAGTACGGCTCGGTGGTGGCGAGTGTCATCTTGGCATTTGCTCTATGACCAGAAAGAGGCATCAGCGATCTGTTCGGATGGATGGAGAGTACGTCAAAAAATTGATGAAATCCGCACGAAGTCCATAATTGCAGCCTGGCCATAGGAAAATAGGCAGAGGCAATGCACCGGAGGAACTTAGAGGAGATCGAGCGGCTCATGATCGAACGTTTGCCTTTTTATATAGGAGCCGTTAGCACAGGACGAATGCTCTTCAAATTGCCGCTAATAAAAACTTACGTCGAGCTAATGCTGTTCGCTGTATTCTAGCAAGATCGAAGCGGCTGTGTAGGGGATGACTTCGACGTATCATTATTCATCAGTAGGCAGCTTATGAAAAAACTTCATAACTCACCGTGCTCGCAGCTTCGATCATTTTTAAGGTCATCCAAGGTCCATAAAATGATTTTCTAGAGTAGCGGAGGAGGACTGATCTTGAGCATGTTCCATGTCAGCTTGATTTCAAACGACCGGGCAGCTACACTCACTTACTGTTTATAGACTTCAGCATCGAACAATGACAGACAAGTGCGATGCAAAAGGTCAGTCCATACCAAAGTGTTGCTGGCGAAGATGAAAAGCGATCGATATCCTTTGCCCCAAAGTGACAAAGGAATGCTTGAGACCGAATGTTCTGCTGGCGAGGGCTCGCGTATTTATAGTATTACAGCCAGAAATTCTGCCAGCGTCGATACGATGATCATTGTGAATTGTGAGGGCACAAACACAGGTGACTCTCCAATTGCAGCTGGCTCAACATTTCATTATTGATTTAATGCAGTATTCGAAGGTATTGTATTTTTTTCCCTGATGATCGAGCATATGAAATGTTTTTCTCACTGTTGGTCTCGATTAAACTGTCGCGAAAATGCTATAGAGAAGCACTGATGCCGAACATCAACATTCATCACTATGGTTATTACGAAAGGTGAGGCGGCGACTGGTCATGCTATTTAGTTCCATTCACCGATTATAAGTGCCTTTTTCACTCAAAAACACCCCATCAATATTTTATACAACTAGTTCCTTACCTATTTGGCATACATACTTCTTCACCGGGGAGCCCCTCGTCATTGATACCTATAGTCTAAGTCAGTCGGGAATAGCCATTTCAAATTATCATCTTAGTTGATTCGAAGAGGGTACATAGGGCCTTTTATTGCACATTACGCAACGGACTTCAATTGGCAAGCCTTGGAGGTACACCAAGGGTAAGGTGGTCAACTGATTTTCCAAGTGAATTATTATGTCGATTGTGTTTCCGTAGAACAATTGACTGCCATCAGCTGCGTCTTTGTAAAGGCAATACCCACACGAACCTCCTGGGAACTTAAAGGAAAAGGGAAGGTGGGTATCGCGACAACGAAATATGAGCCAATTAATGCCATGAAAGGCCCACATGCGCCCAAGCCTTCAGTCAGATAATTGGATGACTTCTAGCGCTAGATCCTAGGATCCAGTGGGTCGTCGAGATTAATGCCATCATGGGATACTACGAATACAATGAGATCTACCTAGGCAAATATCGGTGCCATCAATGACCCAGATACACCACACAGCCTCAGGCAGAAATAATTGGTCCGAGTTTAGCTGTGACCTCCTAGGAGCGTGTGGCTTATTGTATTCTTCCGCTATCATGGGATAGCGATCGGTGGGGTGATAGTTTGTGTTGGTCTGGCGTGTTTGTGTCGTTAATCACTGGTAAAAGGGGAGATTCACAGCTTGTCTCAACGGGCTTATTTTTTTATTGCAACAAGTGTAGAACATTCGCACGACTGCTTCGGAGTGCTCAGGAAAGGGATACTGTATGTACGCTGGTGGTTGCGGCTCACTCAGTCGTCGTGTATTAGCCGCTTTTCCTACAATAACCCGAAGTTATCGCATCGGCCTCTTAATATGGCACTCAGAAAGATTTTCAACTTCAAAAAGCGCCCGAATTTATTTTACTAACCAGGGGCCCTCACCACAAATCTAGATGATTATTTTGGTTTTTCCGTCCTGAAGGTGGTTAGAGATACGTTCCTATTACCTCAACAAATTTACTGCCCGTTCGAGAGCTCAAATTTGTCACTTTTCAGAATAAATCTGAGTATAGTACTGTATGTAGATCTTTTACTGAGGTCTAAATCCTACATTACCTATAAATTCAATCTATCTTCTCATCCCAGGTGGATATGTTCAATAAGCCCGACCTAGATTGATATCATCTTGCGCAAGAACTCTCAGGTCCCTTCTCTACCCTGCATCGTGACAAAAACCGACATTATGCGCCCCCTCCTCTTTCCAGTCCTCACTGCCATCTACACAAAGTATTGTGTTGCTGGCATTCTCAGCATTGTCGATGTTGGTAGCCAGTGCATGATATGGTCGAATAACAACCATGGCTGCACGGGACATTCAATACCGTTTAGTGTACCAAAGGGAGAGGATTGCTCAAGTGAGTACACTAATATAAGAGAATAATGGCCAGGAGACTAACATGCTTCTAGAATTGGGCGGAAAAGCCATTAGCAACGGTCACGACCTTCCCATAGTATCGGTTGAAGCATGCACTACGGAAAAGGGCCTTCTAGCGGTATGGATTTTATTAGAGAAGACTGGACGGGCCACTTTCTTTAACAAGCAAGGAAACATTTCGGCCTGTACTCTTAGCGATGGACTCAAAGTTGGAAGCATGTGTGATACTGTGGATCTAGAAGTCCTCTGTAATTCGATCTTAAATTAAGGAAGCTACATAGTTAGCTGTTGCTTTTCAGCAATAGAATCATCTAACTACACCCTTTGACTAGAGCTGACCTGAACGCAGTGAATTAATTATTGGAACAAAATTCTTTTCTGCTAGGTGTCTAATCCACGTACTATCCTTTTTTGGTTCTCTTCATGCCAAATTTCGATTACTCCAGTCAGCATTCGGCCTTGATTCTCATTCCCTCCTTTTAAAGCAAGTCATATGCGTAGTCCGCCCATAATTGTCTCCCGAGTTCAGATTGATACTGTATCCTGCCGTTCCACTGAAGTTTCAAAAGTGCCACAGTAGCCTCTCCGTGTAGCAGATGCCCAAAGCCTATAACGTTTTTATCTCCTCAATATATTGCAAGTCGAATTTCCAAATGAGTATATGGACAATCTGCCTTATAGCCTATTGCCATTGCCAGTGGGAAAGGAGTGCTGCCTTCATCGCTCACCGAGTCTGCATCAATATCTATCTTGCCAAACAGCATTTCCATAGCTTCAGTATGTATTTTTCCTGGTTGGAAAATTTGTTATTGAAGTCGGGGGTGGTGGGCTAAGGGTGAGGGCTACTTCGCAGTGTCGTTTCTCTCGATCGCCCACCACAGCGTATAATTGCTGCGATAAGCATCAGTGTTTGGGCTATATCTCGGAGGCAAACCCGTCGCGATCGTCTGTACGGACGTTGAGCCAAAAGGTGGCCAGGAACCCTTGTTCGCGACCTGATGACTTCAGAGCCCTGGGGCACCAGCCGAACCCCTACTACAAGCCCGTTCCCCTCCTAGAGGCTCTGAACACCTCGCTTGTGTGGCACCTACATTCCACAGTACCGATGGGCCACTAATACAGGAACATTGTGGGCTATCGTACACGCGGGTGGTAGTTCGGCGTGTTAGCGCCTCACTCGAGAGATCGGCGTACACAGGCTATTGGACAACCAGAAGAAGCGCGATTCTCTGGCTGGTGGGGTGTTCTGCCTGGGCACTCAGTCTGGGGCCACACCGCCCCCAACGCCGGCCCGCAATAGCGACCCTTTTAAGCGCCTCCTGACTCGCCTGCAGGATGCCATCTATAGTAAGCCCCGTTTCATCGATACAGATTGGATTCGGCGTAATCATGGGAGTGACCTCCGGGGCTTTTCAGCGTTAAGAAACCAGTATCTGCAGGAAGAGACACAGATCATCAGCACTCAGGATTTCGAAAACCGATCATCCCCAGAAACAAACGCCTTCGAGAGCCCCACTCCGATCGTTCCATTGGACTGAAAAGGCTCCATCTGCGATATCATTGGCTGCCACAGACTCTTAGCCTGGATTGGACCACTCTCAATTGCGTAGTAAGCCCTTATCAAAAGTGGGTAGTTAATTAGTCGGCATTCTTGGTAGGACCCATAGTTATAAGGCCCAATACTACGCTGAGACAGATTCTCCCCGATAGCTATGAGGAGGGTCTGTATGCGTCTCTACGGTCGGAGTCTGTGCTCAGCTGTGAGTATTGCATAGCGCATCCGTGGCGGATAGATCAAATATATCGAAGATTACTTTTTTTTCTTTAATGATAGGGACAGCTATCGAAGTTACATGATCACTAGGGGTATTTCTCGCACCCAATTAATATAATACTTCCTCTTGAAATTTCGGTACTTTATTGTTAACAGTGCAGCTATCTTCCTATATCGGGCCTATACTAGACCTCTGCGAAACCTCCTAAAGTATGTTCTTGAAACGAAGCATTACTAGAATCTTTTCAATATTGGCTTTAACGGCCCAGCTTTTTATTATGCCATTTGAAGTTTGCGATTGCCAGACTAATCCATGTCGTGCCTAGACATCCTCCAGTAGCCAGCACGTGCAGCAAGGTTCTACAAAAGTGCAACTATCTTGATATTGCCTCTTTTCCTGGCTTGGCCTAGAGGAGACACACTATTGTTGTCGGGATTCCCGAGCTCCAGATCCGGCAGTTGCGCCAGTTGAAGGATCAGTCTTTTGTTGCCAGTATTTGCTGCATGCCACAGCACCAAACGGCCTCTTTTATCTCGCTTATTCACCGAAGTCTTCGAATTTAAAAGTAGAAGATCTATGATCTCGTTTCTCTTGGGGTCCAGGCCATCGTAGGTTGTGGCAGCTAGAAGGAGTGCACTATTCCCCGTGGAATCGAGATAGTTGACGTCAATTCGCGTGCTATCGAAGAGGATTTGTACTGTAACCGGGTCATCGTATATGACAGCTAAATGAAGTGCGGTGTATCCTCGGCTATCTTGAATGTCGATATTGAGTCGCGGGTCTGAAAGAAGCATCCTTAAAATCTCGTATTATTGATATTCGAGAGCTATCAGGATTGGAGGTTGGGCTTTCGGACTCCGACTATTAACATCAATATCATGTCGACGAAGTAGCTTTCGGATAGTTGGCAGTCTTCCTTGTATGATAGCAAAGGGCAGGGCGGCTTGTGCCCATTGGTTGAAACGAAAGACATCTAGAGAATTGTCGCTTGGCACCCGATCAGCTAGAATAGAAGCTCCTTGAAGGGCTAAAAGTATCAGATAGGTTAGCCGCCTTAAGTCGTACTTATACTTGGATAAGTGGGGGTGGCTCACGAATGACTAGTGTGATATAAGCTATGTCTTCGATAATCATAAGATTATCTCGCTTTTCTGTTACCTCGATGATTTTGATTCTGAGAGAGGATATCTCGTTACTGTAATGTGCGATGATTGATCCGGCACAAAGACATCAGGGCAGTATTTATAGCGAGAATTTATTGCGAGGAGCTTTGATCTCCATAATATTAGATCTGTGTTCAGATATCTATATGTACGAGCTTCTATAGTTGGGTTACTCGAATTTCCAGCTGTACTTAGAGATTATCACATACTATTATGGACCTCTGAGGTCCTCGGAAGAGATTGGTTCCAGGAGCAAGCGGTGTATTCCTAGGAATCTAGTTATCAAGGGCTCACTTATGCATATACGTAGATGCGGATTGTCTTTTTCAGAGCGCTAACAGCCAGGAATAGGAGACACAAGCTGATCTTGGACACATGACTTAGTGTGAGGCAACAGAAAAATATTTAGCTTCTTCTTGTTGAGAGTAGCAGAGATGAGCTATATGGGACCGTGCCCTGTACAAATCGTGTATACTGAATACCAGTCCTCGACACATTTTTAGCAGAGTTCCCAGGAACTTGGTGTGAATAGTTTATTGTGCGAGCTCAAACCCGGTGGCAAGGTAAATATTCTTAACGCAAAGAATGACGACTCTCCTCCTCCTTGGATATACTAAGGCTCCCCTGGCTTTGAACTAAGTGTCGCCGTATTTAACGATCTTTATTTCGCAATCGGGACCCTCTTCTCACCGTGACACGTTGTTTCAATGTCTTTTGTCATGACTTCCGAAATATATTTCCAAGCACTGCTAATTACAATACTTCTATTTACTTTGATAGCCAGGCTGCTCCTCTTATGGGTGTTCGGAGATGATTGGCTATTTCATAAGACGGACTTGGCCCTATACGTCTTGTCCTTTCTCCTGTCCGCTGTATTAACAGGCCTTTTCTGGAGCGAGAAGAAATCGATATGGATTCAAATTCTCCTTGGAATTCTTTCAACAATTCCTTCTATGCAAAATGTTCGTTATAGCTTGAGAAAGCCAGTTCTACGCTAATTCTGGCCTAGTTTCTCCGTATTGACCTCCAGCAGCTCAATAATCCATTCATAAATCGATCGACACGTGTTGTATTCAGAATTTATGCTTTGACATTAACGGTCTTGAAAATAATATTTTCATTTATTGGAATATTCTCGCTGGGTGATATTTATTTCACTACTCCCTTCCTACTTTTCCTGGATCATCTCAGTGAAATGGCTTGGTGCCTGTGGTTAGTAAAAAGCGCCACGCAGGGCCGGAAGAAGCTGTATTTTATCTTGACCTATTTATCAAACATGGGTGCTATATTGCTAGGAGTCGCTATCTTTAGCGCGATTTCAAGAAAATGGGACATTGCACTTGAGGTGATTTTCCATTATCTAAGCTTACATTATGGGAGAGCTGACATAGGTTAGATCCAGCTCATCATATGTACTATGCGGGCGATATACAGCCAGGCTATTACGTAAAGTGTAATGAATGGCTTTATGTTCATTGGCTGAACCAGATTAGGTCATTCCGAAGGATCAGAAAATACAAATTGCCAATGAAAAGGGGTCTTAAGTGGAGAAGGGGGTGAAATGGCTGTAAATTTCGGTTGTGACTTTTTCATGTAGGCTAGATTTACACTACATAAAATGATTGTATACTAAGGGGCCTGGTAAAAGACAGTCCGTAGAGAGCTGCGATCCTACAATGCCAGCCCGCTTAACTCCATTTCCTGTCTTAGGCTTGACACAGAAGATGGATATAACTTTAGATGATCACAATGACACAGCCGAGCACAGCAGTAAGTCTACAGCTCTGGCGCTGAAGCTATTTGTCAATCGAAGAAATTCAGGGTAAGAGAAGAAGATTGGTACATTACGATCAGTCTGGGCGACAAGGGAATACATCGTGGGATGAGGATTTACAGATCAGGAAGCAAGCCGCACCATCGGAAATAGCTACGAGATGTCTACATATACAATCGAGTTTATTTAATATCAACTTGGCTCCAAATTGTATATATAGCCTCCTATTTCTTCAAGAACTAATAATACGATTCATACCTCTAAACAACAAAAATCTATTCCACTGGGTCAAATTGCTCACGCGGCAGTCTTCTCCGCGTGACAGACTAAAAGTGTTGATGCATTCGAGTCATTCACGGCACCGAGTGTCCCATCATCTCTTGGACTATATCAGTAGTATCATTGGCATCTAACGACAGCGTGTATATCGACGATCACAGGCTTCTGGCCTTAGGCGTCCCAGGGCATTCATGGCTCTGATTGGCTAAGATCTCTTTCCAGCGGTACCCAATTTCATATATCGACTTAGTTCCCG